AACAACATAACTGTAAGAGAGAAAATAAAAATAAAATGTACAATTCAATATGTATTTTCAGTCATTATTATCTTGGCCTTAGACAAAAAGAATTCTGAAAGCCAACAAATAACTTTAAGTTATGTTAAAACAAAGAAGTACCCACCTCATATCTGGAGAGAAGTCAAGTGAACAAGCATAACCAGCCACCATGTGACCAGAAAATGTCTTCTTTCGATTCATTTTGAAGCGGTTGAGAGCAGAGAAGACAACAATTTTATTGTCCATTGACTGGCAAGCAAGCCACTTGTAGTTTGGAGAGAGAGTTACAGCTGGCATTGAGTGCATAGTTGGATCAGCGATGTACTTCATGTCGACTGGAATGTCCCATTCCCAAACACGCAAGCTTTTGTCATCTGATGTTGTCACAAACCGACGGTTTTCGTCCACAAATGTTATAGTGTTGACTGATCCTAAATGTCGATCATATTCCTGAACAATTTCTCCAGATCGCGTGTCCCACTAGAATAAAAATTATATTGATAACTTCATAGGATAAATAGTAACAACAAACTCTTAGATTAAACTTGTACTTACACAGATAATTTTTTTGTCAGATGTTCCAGCAACAAACAGATGCTGTTTATCTTCATCAGGATGAAACTTGCAACAATAAGGTGTTTTCCGACTAGTGAAACGGGATATGCAATCTCCTGTTTCTGTGTCCCACAACTTGACATATCTATCATAAGCTAGAGGAAGAAATTTGATAGGGCACATAAGTTAGAAGAAGAAATACATAAATTGACAGATGTGACACACTTTAATGAATTCCAACTTACCAGCAGACAAAAAGTTGTTCCCACCATTATTGAATGCAATATCTCGCACAGCCTGACGATGCCCATAGTAGGTCCTTACACATCTTCTTTCATTGTAGACTTCCCAGATCTACAAAAGAAATTTTAGTAAACTACAAAGAAATCCAATTGAACTTTCACTCATGAATAGAGAGCTTTGAGACTTACCTTCACACGACAATCCATACTACATGATAAAAGTAAGTGGGCAGTCTTCGGTAGCCAGCGAATTTGAGATATTCCTTTTGTATGACCCTCCCACGTGTGAATAAGATTTTTAGGCAAGAAGCAACGATCTGGTGGTGTGTCTGATTTCAAATTTACGCCCACATCCTGAGGAGGGTGCATGAATGAGCGGCCTTGGTAGTCGAAAGGTTCCTTAACTGGAAACAGAAAATACCAAGGGTAATAAAAGCAGGAAGTACATATATGCTAGGCATCGGTGACAGCTTAAAGGACTACACATACTGTGAAGAACTGTCTTTTCTTCAATAGGTCTCTCATCAACCTGCTTTCCTTTCTTCTGTCTTTTAGCAAGAATTTCTTCTAATTCAGCTGCTTCTTCCTAAAATTTGAATTCAGAGAATTAGTTAACAGAATTAGATGCAGATAGAAAGATGTATAAGTTTTCACTCACTTCATTTGGTTTCATCACTCTCTTTTCATCAACATAAGTACCCCAAGGACCTAAGAAGCCCTCAACATCCTCTGGTTGGTCATTTTTATTGCGTTTCCGTTTGTCTAGGGGTCTTTTACTAGTTGATTCAAATACAGTCTTTCCGCCTGTTTCTTGTAAAGCCAGTTCTGAGCCAACAACCTTAGCACCCTCCACTGTGTTGGCGTCCACGCTAGGATCTAAGGCAAATCCTGTGAAAAGCCACCAAAAAACACAATAAGACAATTTAATAGGTAAAAACCGATAATGACATGTTTGATCACAAATATATATTGTAAAAGGTCTTACCATAACTAGTAAATGTCCGCCTTTGATTTTCAAACTGAAAGGCATCCATGTGTGCTGGTTCCACAAAGCCAGAAAGCATATTTCTCTGAGCTTTCTGTTGTTGGGTTTGATTAGGATTAAAAGGCCCCAGCTCTGGGGCATATAAATCGTCATATTTTAGGTTGAACATTATTTCTTTGGACGTAGGATCAACTAGTGGACGAGGGTCTACTGCACCCTGAAAAGAAATTGTTAGGTAAGTAGTTGTGTAAATTAGAATGTACAGAATGATATTGTTTAGGAAACACCAAACATACTTAAGTTAACCTAACCTAAACTTCACATAATTTTCTTTCCATTACACAAGTAGGAATGTTAAAGCAAATTCTTACCAAGGGTACAACATCAGGGGCAGCACACAAAGACACAATTTTGGTAGAAATAGATGTTTCTAAAGGTTTTAAATGAAGAGCTGAGCCCTCGGAATCCGACGCTGCCTCACTATCACTACTGCTACCGTATTCTTGTAGTCCTAGCATGGTTACTTTTTTGTTCTCTAGGAAATGGAACCTTCTTTTTTAATTTAACAGAAAGGTATCACGTATCTCAATAACAAGGTAGGTAAAACTAAACACTTCAAACGTCAACTTGTTTGAATCACAACAAACTAACAAAATTTACACGCTAGTCGATGAATTTTTCATACGAAGTATTTACCTACGTTAGTCAAAAGTAAGTCTCTCCCTCAGATAGTTTCTACTTCGACTCTGGTGGTAAGGTGTCGGCGGGTGGGGGTTGATGGTTTGTATGTTTTGTTTTGTGTAGAGATGAAATGTGGTTGTTTAGCCGGTTTTTTATCAAAGGTTAAAAATAAGAGCAATGACAACACCATTTATAAGGTTTGGAAGAAATAATTGTAGATTTGACGTTAAAAACAAAAGAACAATATGTCAAGTGGTGACCCAAAACCATCGCTTGAATGGATAGAAATAGGGTCCAAGAGGTTTAAAGTTCAACGCCAGTATCGAAGTTGCACAGTAAGTAAGTTATATATTTGGTAGAAATTACCACCATCAAATTTAAAGATGTGTTCACTCTTCTTGCGGTGTGTGACTCGTAATGTCAGTGAGTTATTTGTCTCTTCTTCAGGTTCACACATTACATCACGTCAACCAATGCAGAGGCAGTCAAAGAGGAAGATAGTGATAATCATGGTGAAGGACATGGAAAGGTAAAGTAACTGAATATCATAATACTACTGGAAACAAACTTTTATTCCTACTAGCATTCTTTAGTTTCTCAGTAGCTCGGTTGATTGTTGCGTCAACATTCCATCCATTGTGAATTACGTTTTTTTTTTTTTTTTTGTAGGATGAAGAGCTTTCATGTCTCAATCTCCAGAGATGATGGTCCCAGTCAGCCTACAAGAATCCACAAGACATGCCAGGTAGAATCAGTGTAGTGATTTGCAATATCTCTTACACTCCAAAACGAATATGCACGATGAGGCGGGCAATACATTCATGGCCTGGCCATGGCATCAGAAGGAGAGATGTGAAGACAACCAACTGACTGGGTTGCCTGAGCACTGGCTGCAGGGTCTGCAGGCATAGGGCGCCGAGCTGCCACTGTTGTAGCAAGGTAGAGAGCTTTTCAAATATTCACCCGAGGCGCCCAGATCGTTGGCGACAGGATATGCTCACGGTGTTGCTACAACACCACTCTCTCCGTGCCAGCAGCCAGTGCAGCCGGTGCATAGGCAACCCAACGTACTAGCATGTCTTAGCCTGAACACCGCTCTCCCCATGAAAAGCTGTTGGCAGGTCTAGCCAGGGGTCGGGCGGGGGCCGGGGACATCTGAATGACGCTTACAATGGAGCCTCGGGTTTAAAGGGATGCCGGTGTGTCTACATTTAGCGAATGAACTATACTGATTGCTTTCACTTTAGATAAATATTTTCATCTGAAGATGTAGATATGGTTCTGTTGCCTCCACGCAAAACTCTTCCAAAACAGGATTGGAGTAAATTTTTGAGCAAATTCTCGTCCGCAGCCCATTTTTGGCATTATTAGTCCACATGTGTGGGAAAGGAAATTACCTCCTCATAAGAAACCTCCGCAGTGGAGGAGAAAATGCTGTCCGATGCACTAGCGTAAAATCTTATCCACAGCGCTCATCAGAATTCTCTCCACATCGGGCGAATTCCCCTTTCTCCTTTCCCCGGGATCACGCCAGGCGCCGACCCCTGAGGAATCGTCCAGGAAGTTCGTCGAGCTCCTCGGCGCCTGCGAGGCTCAGGATAGGCCACCCCACATTACACGCGAGCACTGCATGCAAGGTGTTGCCTACCAATCAGGCGCCATGAGCGTTCGCTCAGAACGTTCTGGCTGGTAACGGCAGGTAACCGTGTTCAATTTAACATTTTATATGACAGTGCTCGGTCCTCTGTGTGTGTGTGTGGGGGGGGGGGGCTGTTCAGCAGGCCAACGCCAACACCTCCCTGACACGCGAGTGGGTTTTATCCTAAAGCGCTGTTAACGTGTCGACTGTCGCAGAGCCGGCTCGCACGACTCAACCACACACGAAAAAAATGAAAAATGAATTGGTCCTCAGACCTAAAGATTTGTTAATTTCGGGGCGATTGATCAGAAAGTTGTCGACGGAGCTAATAATTTTGCTGTCTGAACCATTTGAAACTGGAATCCTGTTTTCCATCGAAATATGAAACTCCGCCTGTTATTTGGTACCCACACGGGAGTAAAAAAGGGAATCGTGCAGCAGTTATTCAAAACTAACGCGGCAAAAAAAAGAAAAAAAAGACGACCCTAGCTCCAAACTTGAATTTGCACGCCAGGCACCGGTCGCAACTGGTGCTGGTCGCTCACAACCACCACCAGCTCGTTAGTCGCGGCAAAAGCCCAGGCTAAGAGCCGGGAGTGGGCCGTGGATAGGGGACCTCCACTCCACTGCCATGGCCTCTCGGTGGTCCAAGGTGCCAATCCTCCTGGTGGTGCTCCTCGCAAACCAAACGGGCGCTCTCGGCAAATCCATCAACTCTTTCGCGGTGTGTTGTTTGGGGAGGTATCTTTATTGAATGCACTTTTAAAAGCTTACGCTGTTTTTTTTTTGTTTTTGTTTTTTTAAAACGTATAGACTTTACAGCAGCACTGTATCTTACCGTTGTATGTTACTGTCCCAGCGAGAAATGACTCGATTCGATGTCGATTTCGAAATTTGGTCGATTTGGTGGACAAAATCGAATCGATACCGAGTCGAATTTGCCCCGATCGATGAAAATGGACCATTTATCGATAGTGCATTTATTTCTCACTGGGGACGCACCTATTTAGGGCGCACACACTTAAAGTACTGTTTGGTACATATGGTATCAATAAGTGATTATTCGTGCGTACAGTACCTACGGCAATCATGCGTGAACTCAGAGATAGAAACATTTCTCATTTTATGCATACAAACTAAAAAATAACTATACATTTTTATTTTATGCACAAAATGTAATATATTTCTATATGAATATAAACCTAATTAAGCTCGTTTGTCTACATAATTGTGTATACGCACAAATCTCTGTCCACGACATGTACGCAAAGGTACACCCGAGTTAGTGTGCATAACTAACAGTGACACCCGCCGCAGGTTTAGTTAGAAAAATTTCTAAGAAACAGTGCTGCAATGAGTTCCACTGTAGCATACGGTAAAGGTTACCTTTTGTTAGTGTGCCAATTTGGCGTAACATTTTTCTTAGTGATCTGTGGCAAACGGTTGTTTAGCTTCACTTCTGATGTAAAGGGCCCGTGGACTGCTAACGTCGAGCGCTTTTCCATGTGTGAAGAACCCAATCGCCCGCTTTATTGGAGGTGGTTTTTCCGTACCAGTCACTACAATCCACAAAAACCAACAGAACTACAGCTGCTTACTGGTAACAAGACGGGTAGAGATGTACCTTATGATGATAGCTTATGGGTAAGACATATGGCTTGTTTTGGATGGTCCTGCCTAAAATACGTTACAATGACGCTATATACAAGGGGAGATTTCGAAGTACATACATGTATCGATGCCATCTTTGTTTTATTAGATGAAAATATCGTTCGCCGTTTGGTCAAATAACCAATGGAAGGAAAACTCTTTCGTGATGTATTTTCAAGATAAGGCGTGCTCAAATATCCGAGACAATTTATTTCCTGACTTTTACCGGAAGGTTTATAAGAAGACAGATACAACAGGCGTGTGCACAATCTCACCTGTAAGTACACAATCTTTGTCTGCTCTGGTAATTTGACGTCCGTGACCTTTTCTCGCAATTTCTTTTACCAAATGGGTTCGTTTTACTTTACAAGTACATTATTTCTTTTATCATAGGTCTCTATGAGTGTACATGGTTACTACTACCTCCTGCATACATGATCATGTATACACACTATCCCCTGAATACATGTCGGCATGCAGGATGTACTGCATACAAGTACACACTTGAGTTTTCAGAGCAGCTAGGTGATTGTAGCACCTATAAACATAAACTAATTTTAAGTGTAAAAGCTGGTATCACATCAATTTCCAGGGAGCTTACGAGGTCAACAACGTCCCTATAAACTGGAAGTATCCGAAAGTTCCAGTCATGCCTTATGGACTCTATAGGCAAAGAATTACGGCTGGAAAGAAAGACAAACTCTACGAATGCTTAGTTGTACAAGTGCGGATAATGCCCAAAATTGTATAACACTGCCTTGTGTATGGTTGTTTTTTTGTGTTTTTTTTGCTGCTAACATTCGGAATTGTTACTGGCACATTTTTGACACGAAAAACATTATAAAGGTCACTCGAATGTGACAACAATTTGCCTAAATGCCAAAACTTAAATAATACTTACGCAGTAATAAATTATAAAAAAATGAAATGTAAAAGAAATTACAAATTGTCTCTGCTTTGTAAAGCTGTTTGTAAGGTCTACGGGCCTAGACAATCCTATGTGGGTCCTGCTCATTACAAGAATTAGGTTTACTTTGTTGAGTTCACCTTGCATTCAAACGAACTGGTTGGGGGAAGCTTGTCGAACTGAAATCCTGTTATCCATCGAAATACAATTCTACAACGGAGCTTCACTGTCAATTGGTGCCGACACAGGAGGGGGAATCGTGCCAAGGTTTAAACCTCCCCCTCCCCTTTCAAAAAAAAAACAAACAAAAAAAAAACAAAAAAAACAAGAAACACAAAAACAACAACAACAAAACGAACCCTGCGTAAATATACTACGTCAGTATATCATACGTCAGTATATTTTCACGCCAGTCAGTCTGCACTACAGGTGCAGGGCAGGCGCCA